ATGACTCAGTGGAAGTCCTCCTCCTCACCAGCTGTCAGCACCATGATTCATTTTTCCTTCCTTCCTTCCTTCCATCCCTCCTTCCCTCCTTCCTTCCTTTCCTTCCTTCCCTCCTTCTTTCCTTTTCTTCCTTCCCTTTCTTCTTTCCTCTCACTATGTCACGATGATTGAGAGAACCAGAACAAAGCCACAGCTCCACTTCAGGCTCTCTGGTGGATCCTGGGAGATAAGAGTTTTATGGGCTTTCCTGTCCAGGCTGGCATTTGACCTGGGATCTTCCTATCTCTGCCTCGTGAGTAGCTGGGATTACAGGCGTGAGCTACCAGCACCCGGCTTTCCCTGTTGTCTTTGTAGAACTTGTAGCATAAAGGAGAAGCTGAGCTGATGGCAGAAGAGGCCCAGAATGGAGGTCATTGATAGAGCCCATGCTGAGCATGCTCAAGGCCTTAGCTTTCAATCCTAACAAGGCCATTGGTGTGCGCGCGCATGCGCACTTGCGCGCACATGCATGCCAGTACTAGGGCTTGAACTCAGGGCCTTCTACTCTTGCTTGGCTTGTTCTGTTCAAAGCCAACGCTCTACCACTTGAATCGCAGCTCCACTTCGAGCTTTTTAATTAGAGATCAGAGTCTCAGGAACTTTTGGACCTGGCTAGCTTTAAACCTTGACCCTCAGATCTCAGCCCCCTGAGTGGCCACTGGGTGCCACCAGAACCCCGTTTATCTTTCTGGCTTCAATGCTGTCTCCCCCACAAAATACTTCCTGTTACTTAGGTTTATTTCGCGTAGATGTATACACATAAAAACTTCATTGTCATAAGAGACACATATAATTTACCATCACCCAATTAGTCTATAGTTGAGTACTATTAAATACGGATGGAATATTCTACAAAATGACCCCCATTCATTTCCAGAACACTTTATTTTTGCCAATCCTGGGGCTTGAACTCAGGGCCCTATCCTGATCTTGTTTTGCTCAAGGGTAGCGCTCTACCACTTGAGCCACAAGCACCACTTCTGGCTTTTTCTGTGGCTGTGGTGCTGAGGAATCGAACCTGGGGCCTCATGCATGCTAGGCAAGTGCTCTACCACTGAGCCTCATTCCCAGCCCCCAGATATATATTTTTTTAATGTTGAGACTTCTTGTTATGGATGTGAGATAGTTTTCCTTTGATTTAAAGCCTCCTAAATAGCTTTCAATGAAATATAATATTTTTTGCATACAGATAAAGTACACATTCTGTCTTATTGGCTCCTAAATCTTATTTTGATTTCTCTGTTATAGTTAACATTACTTTCTCAAGACTGAAGTTTCAGAAGTGCTTTTTGCTGATCTATAGGAATGCAGTTGATTTTCAATATTAGTTGTAGTAAAGCACACAATTTGGATACAGTCTTGCTTCTGTGCAATAATTTTTTTTCTATAGACATTCGGAATTTTCTCCCACTCACCTCATCAGCAACAAGATAGAAGAAGTTTCCTTTCTCTTTTCCAGTGCTAAGCTTTTAATTTCCCTTTCTGTGCTGGCAGGACTTTTATTGCAATGTTCAAAGGAAGAAGTGACGAGCCGTTCTGTTCTTGCTTTTAAAAGAAACACTTCTAATATTTTGTTTCTCGGAACTGTGGTCGCAGTGTGAAGCTGCGAGGGTTCAACCTCCAGCGCCACAAAAATGAAAACACCCAGAAAAATAAGTGAACAAATGGTGTTTGCTACAGTGTCTTTCGTTTTCTTTTCCATTTATTTATTCTTTTATTCTTTTGGTTGGATGTGGAGCTTGAACTCAGGGCCTGGGCGCTGTCCCTGAGCTTTTCTTGCTCAGGTCTGGTGCTCTACCACTTGAGCCACAGCGCCATTTCTGGTTTTCTGATGGTTCATTGGAATAAGAGTCTCATGGACGTTTCCTAACCCGGTTGGCTTCAAACTGTGATCCTCAGATCTCAGCCTTCTGAGTATCTGGGATTACATACAAGAGCCACTAGTGACAGGTTCTTTTCTTTTCCCTTCCCTCTTCTCCCTCCCTCCCTCCCTCCCATCCTCCCTTCCTTCCTCTCCCCTTCTGTTTTTGGTCAGTCATAGGGCTTGATCTTCTTTTGCTCAAGGCTAGCCCTCTACCACTTGAGCACAGCGACACTTCCAGCTTTTCTGTGTGTGTGGTACTGAGAAATCAAACCTGGGGCTTCATGCATGCTAAGCGAGCACTCTACCACTGAGCCACCTGCCCAGCCCCTTTCCTTGATTTTGTGCCACTACTGAAGCTTGAACTCAGGCTATAGGCACTAGCCTTTAGCTTTTTTACTCAAGGCTGGTGCTTTGCCACTTGAGCCACAGCTCTACTTCCACCTTTTCGTTACTTTAATGGAGATAAGAGTCTCACAGACTTGGCCAGTTGCTGGTAGCTCCTACCTATAATCCCAGCCAGAAGGGAGGCTGAGAACTGAGGATCATAGTTCAAAGCCAGCCTGAGCAAGAAATTTTGTGGGACTCTGCTTGCTCGTGAGCCACTAAAAAGGCTGGAAATGGCTCAGGTGGTAGAGCACTAGCATTGAACAAAGAAGACTCAAGGACAGCACCCAGCCCTCAATTCAAACCCAGAATTGGTGCGTGCAAACACACACACACACACACACACACACACACACACACACAGGATGAGTCTCACAGACTTTCCTGTCCAGGCTAGCTTTGAACCACAGTCATCTGGCACCCAGCTTGATCAAGCCAGATATTTATCGGAATGGTAGAACATTTGCCCAACATGTACCAGCCCATCACCCAAGTCACAAACAATTAGGGGAGAGCTGGGTGCAGCGTCTCAACCTGTAATCCTAACTACTTGTCACTCAGGTAACACAGGTTGGGAGAATCATAGTTCAAAGCTAGCACCTTTATATGTTACAGACTGTGATAGACAATTTGCTCCAGGAAAGTTAGAATGAACTTGTGACTTTAAATGAGCATCATTATTCTACAATACTGTGAAATTCAGGAAATTATGTAATCACTTAATCACAAAAAAAAAAAAGAACCTCGGGGAAGATAGGGAGGGAAGGGATGGTAGGGGGAAAACAATGGAGGGGGTAACAATACTCAATAAGAAGTGTACTCATTACCTTACTCACTGTAACCCTCTGTATAGTATCTTTACAAAAAAAAAAAAGTTAGTGAGAACTGCAGTCTAACTAAGAAAAGCTGAGAAATGTGGCATTTACCTGTAATCCCAGCTAACTGGAAAGATGAAATAGGGAAATTGTGATACAAGCCAGTCGAACATGACTAAAGGTCTGGGCAGGTGGCTCAGTGGTAGAGCGCTCGCCTAGCATGCATGAAGCCCTGGGTTCGATTCCTCAGCACCACAGACACAGAAAAAGCCAGAAGTGCCGCTGTGGTTCAAGTGGTAGAGTGCCAGTCTTGAGCAAAAGCAGCTCAGGGACAGCGCCCAGGCCTGGAGTTCAAGACCCCTGATGGGCAAAATAAAAAGACTCAGGCAAAAAATGGTAGGGATAGCCAGGCGCCGGTGGCTCCCGCCTGCCATCCCAGCGACTCAGGAGGCTGAGATCTGAGGATCACGGTTCAAAGCCAGCCCGGAAAACCAGAAGTGGCGCTGTGGCTCAGGTGGTAGAGCGCCCGCCTTGAGCTGAAGAGCTGAGGGACAGCGCCCAGGCCCCGAGTTCAAGCCCCAGGACCAAATAAATAAGTAAATGCCGCAGGGATCTTCCTCCAGGGATAGAACACCCGCCTATCATGCAGGACCCTACAGAACACATACTTAAATATCGCACCTGTGGATTCTAAGGCGCACACACGTGCACAGTGAGACATGCAACTGTGTGCACACCGACACGCGTGTGACTACGTGTATGTAATGCAATGCGCCCGAGCCCTGAGTTCAAGCCGCATGCACGCACACGTGTCCACGCAAGGCGTGTGTGTGCGCACGTGCGTGTGCGGACAGGTGTGCATCCGTGTGAACACGCACGCGCGCGCAGCCCACGCGGGCTGCCCTCCAGCCCCGGCGCCCAGCCCACCGTGCGTCTCGGGGACCAATAAAGTTTTATTGTCACGAAGCCGGTAGCAAAGGAAAGCGCCTGTCAGTTCCTCCCCAACAACCAATCACAAGCCGGGGAAAGCCTATGCCCCGCCTCCCGGAGCCGCGGGTCGGCGGAAGTGACGTCCCTCCCACCCGGAACGTGCTTCCGGAAAGCGGTCGGCGGCCATAGAGGTCGGCGGCTAGAGCGACCGGGCGGGCCGGCGGCAGGAAAGGCTCCGGACGGCCGCCGGAGGTGACGGAGCGGCGGCCGCGCCCCGGCAGCTGGAGGAGCAGCTCGGCGGGTGGCGTTCCGGAGCGTCC